ACTAGCGACGACCTTGGCGAAAGGGGTGGATGACATGCGCACCGTGTCCCCCCAGGTGCAAATTGTAGTATGCACAGTACCGGAAGTACCAGTACGCAACATCAACCTGCAAAGAGCGGTAGTCGACGCAAACAAAGAGATATGGCGAATTAGTCGAGAGAAGGGTTTCGAGGTAGTGGATTTAAACAGGGAAGTGCACAGGTGGGGTGGATTCCAAAGAGACAAGATTCATTTCGATAAGAGGCTTGGACACGAGGTGGGCTGGCGACTGGCAGGACGCGCAGTAGCTTTTTTGGGGGGCTCACGGGCCCTTCGGAGTCCGGGGTAGCTCGTAACAGGGAAAACAACCAGGAGGACGCTTTGACAGGTAGAATTGCGAAAAACCAGAAAAAATGTAAAAGAAAAAGGAAAAAGGCGCGTGTTGCAATTAGTTACATAAACATGCAGGGTGGCAGAAAGAAGGCAAAATGGTTAGAGATTGAGGAGCAGTTAAACAAAGAACAGATAGGCGTGTATGCGGTTACAGAAACACACCTTAGAGACTTGGAAGAGCCACCACATATTAAAAATTATGTTTGGGAAGGGTGTAACAAGACCATATCGGAAAGGAAAGGTGGGGGTGTAGGAATGCTAATTCACCGCGGAGCCAAATGGGTTAGAGTGAAACAGACGTGTTCAGAGCACCTCTGGGTTCTGGGCACAGTAGGTGGAAAGGAAACGTGGCTAGGGGTAGCCTACTTGTGGACGGGGAATAACTGCAGAGAAAAGAATCAGGAGATAGTGGATTGCATGAGTGCGGATATTAAGGAATTTGGTAATGGGGCCGAAATCATCCTTCTAGGGGACATGAATGCCCACATACATGACCTTGACGGATATTCAGACACCAATGGGAAGTTATTACTAGATCTTTGCGAGCAACATAGTCTGGAGATAGTTAACACGGGGCCTAAATGTGACGGCCAGATCACATGGGAAGTCGGAAACAAGCAATCAAGTATTGATTATTGTCTCATGACTGAAGGAATTTACCACAAACTGACAGAAATGAGGATAGACGAGGAAGGCATTAACAGCTTGGGTAGTGATCATAAACGAATAACATTACAAATGGGATACGAAACTAAAAATATGAGCATGGAATCAAAGTCTGGCAGCTCGTATTTAAATGACAAACAAATAATAAATATAGCCGCAAGAGTCGAGGAAGAAGTAGGCGAAATACCAGGCAAGGACTGGGAGTATAGGGAGCTGTTACATCTAATGACGAAGGAGATAGGGAAAGAGAAGAAAACCGTTTGCTGGAAAGGAAAAAGGAAGCCAAAAAGTTGGTGGAACAAGGAAATCCGGGAGGCGATCGAGAAGCGACGCGAAGCATCACGGGAGCATAGAAAGGCAAAAAAGGAGAAGCGGCCGCAGGACGAAGTCAAAAAATATGGGAAATCTATTTGGAGAAAAAATCCCTTGTACAGAAATTGGTAGAGGCAAAAATTAAAGGTGAAAGTGAACGCTGGATGACAGAGATACACGAAAAAAAGGAGGCCGCGCCTAGGATTTTTTGGAGCCACATAAAGGCGCTAGGTAGGAAGTCTGTCACAACGCAACAACATATTCTAGATGAAGGAGGAAATCAATTGGAAGGGTACGAAGCGCTAGGTTACATCCAAAAGGTAACAGCCGATTCGTTTCAAAAGAGCGTCCAGGGGATCTCCCCGGTGAGTAAAAGTGTGGCGGAGAAAGCAACAGAGGAAGAGCTAGTACTAGATAATTTCAACTGGAAAAAGGCCGAAGGAAAAATTCCAAAGCGCACTGCCGCGGGTTTAGATGGGATTCCCGTTAGCCTCATTAACGAACTAGGACATAACACTAAAGAAGCATTGTTAAAAGCAGTAGAAAAAAGCTTAAAGGACGGACAAATACCGGACAGTTGGCGACAAAGTAGAATGAACTTAATCTATAAAGGCAAGGGAGAAAAGGACAACATTCGCTCGTATAGACCACTAACCATTACATCGGTACTATACAGGTTGGCGATGCAAGCAGTAAAAATGAAAATAGAAACATGGGCCGAACATAACGATATTTTGGGAGAACTTCAGAACGGATTTCGAGTCGACAGGCGGTTAGACGATAACCTGTTTGTTCTCACTCAGTGTATAGAAATATCTAAAATAGAGAATAGGCCCTTGTACGTGGCTTTTCTAGACATCACTGGGGCATACGACAACGTTAATCAGGAAATTTTGTGGGATATATTGAAAGGAATGGGCATGGGCGTCGACTGTATACAGCTTTTGAGGGAGATATACCGAGAAAATACAGTTTGCATAGAGTGGGAAGGAATGCGTAGCAAAGAGAACGTTGAGGTTAGCAGGGGTCTGAGACAGGGATGTCCTTTGTCCCCACTGTTATTCATGCTGTACATGGTGAGTATGGAAAAAGCGCTAGAAGGTAGCAACATTGGTTTTAATCTGTCACACAAACAGGGCGGCATGATGATTGAGCAGAAGCTTCCAGGTTTATTTTATGCGGACGATATCGTCTTATTTGCGGACAGTCGAGATGATATACAGCAGCTGGCGAATATATGCGGAAGGGAAGGTGAAGCTCTTGGACTAGGATTCAGTGTAACGAAGTGTGGTTTGATGGTATTCAATGATCCCTGTGATCAGACGGTGTCCATACAAGGCCAAGAAATACCGAGGGTAAGTGAATACAAGTACCTTGGAGTATGGGTAAATGAGAGTGATAGATACATGGAGGTACAGGAAAAAGCCTCGGCAGCAAAAGGAAAGAGGAATGCGGCAATAATGAAGCACAGAGCGTTGTGGGGATACAATAGGTATGAGGTGCTTCGAGGTCTGTGGAAGGGTGTAATGGTTCCAGGGCTTACTTTTGGGAACTCAGTGGTGTGCATGAGGGCAGAGGTGCAATCGGGAATGGATGTAAATCAAAGGACTGTGGGACGCCTCGCGTTGGGTGCTCACGGGAAGACGACAAACGAGGCTGTAAAGGGCGATATGGGGTGGGCAGGTTTTGAGGCGAGGGAAGCGCAGAGCAAAATAAGGTTCGAAGAAAGGCTAAGAAATATGAAGGAGAGTAGATGGGCAGAGAAGGTGTTCCGTTATTTGGATAGGAAGAGCGTGGACACACAGTGGAGAAAAAGAACTAGAAGACTCACTAGTAAATATACGGCTGGTATTGTGAGCCATATGTCAACAAAGAGCGTTAAGGGAAAAGTCAGGGAGGCGGAGAGGATTTACTGGATGGCAGCTATGGAGAAAAAAACCGGCTTTGAGTTACTACCGAAAGGGCAAAAATGAAATAAGGAGGGAGGCATTTTACGATAATTCAAGGGGAAGCGCTTTACTGTTTGAAGCGAGATCGGGTTGCCTTAGAACGCGTAGTTATAAAGCAAGATTCAGTAAAGAAGAAGAACAATGCACATGCTGCGGGAAAGATAAGGAAACGGCGGAGCATGTTCTGATTGAATGTGGAGATATCCACCCAGGTGTACGTTTGGGCACGAGCCTACAGGAAGCCTTGGGTTTTAGGGACAACAATGGAAAGCTGAACACACCCGCGATTGAAATAAGTAAGAGACGGTTAGAGTATTGGTGGCAGAAAATTAGAGAGAAAGGACAAAAATAAATATTGGAAAAATAAAATATGGACAGTGTGCCGTAAATGGCAGAGAACTTAAGCTGAAAATTTACCTTTTTTCCATTAAGATAGAATTTATCGAAGTAGAGGCATTAGGCCAACATAAAAAAAAAAAGAAAAAAGATTTTTTTTTTTACGTCGAGCCTGGTGGCATACTTGTCACCACCCCGTTATAAAGGGGACGCTCATAGCATCCATCCATCCATCCATCCATCCAATATATGATGATCATATTTGGGAAAGTACGAACGCACGGATGGACAGACAAGCAGACAGGCGGATGAACGAACGGACAGACAGAGACAAGGGCGGACGCGTGGATGGATGCACGGACAGACGCATGGATGCACGGACGGACGCATGATTGGACTGACGAACGCCCGGACAGACGGACGGACGAACGGATGGACTGACGGATGTTTCGCCCCGCTCGTCATTATTCACTCCGTGGATATGCTGAGATTTTTCGATTGTCTCGCTCTGCTTTCTATTGACCGTATTTGCAAGCTCACTCTCTTTTTTTTTGACGGTTATACTTTACAATGCAATAACTCATATTGTGAGTTGTTACGTCCCAATGTCACTATGACAGATGCCACTGAAGAGGGCTCCGAACAATTACGATTGTCTGGGGTTCTTCCACGTGCGCCACAGTTTAGGCACGAGTGCCTCCACAATTTGCCTCTCTTAAAAGGCGGCTGCCTGGGCCTTGGATTCGATCCCGAGATGATTTGAGTCAGCATCCCAGCTCCACGAGCACTAGAACACCGCAGCAGATCACTTTGCAATGCATACCCTACGGCATGCGATACACGCTACATACACTTTATTTCAAGAGACGTCTCATAGTAAACAATGATCACAATAAAAACAGTCGGGAAACTTGAAGATTGAAACTATGGAGTGATGGCACCATAAATCACAATGAACTGTTACCGCCCGTAAAACAAACGTGGCACTTTCTATGGACAAGCTCAGCAGTCGTAGCATTCACTTGTGGCAGTGTGCTGAAGCGACACGAATTGACACAAGGAAGCAACCAACGCGTATATCCCGCACCTGTGCGCACGCACTGCTGCTTGTATAGGCAAGGCTACGCGTTTTGGTGATAAAATGGAAGTGGGAGTAATATACGTTTCCATGCACGTAAATTTTAGTGACGTCGAATTGAGAAAGTTGTTGTGACAATTTGATACGGTTGGTTAGTGTTCTAACGTCCCAAAAGATGCAACAAAAGCCTTTGCTCGTATTTTAGTTGGGCTTCTTGTTACTTTAGCGCTGTAAATTAAAACTATCCATGCGAGATAATCTGTCGCGCTCCGCATAGGATGACTCACCAGGAATACTTCGTTCCATAGGTGAATGCCAGATGTTTGACGTTCCCTGCTGTGCTTCCACCCGAAGCCTCGAAGAGGTTCACCTGGGTGTCCAATCCAGTTCTCCTTTTCTTTTCGGTACATGTACCGGAGGAAGAAGTTCATGAGGAAAGACTTGCCCTGGCGACACGCTCCGGCTATGGATATCACCACGACCGGCTTGTCCTTGACACGCTCGTCGAGGAGGATGCGTTGTAGCTCTTCGTGTTCAAGCTGCCAACCATCATCATTGATTTTCAGAATCTGAATCGAGCGTCGTCGCTGATAACTTGCCATGGCAATCCCTGCAAATGTGACCTACAAGTTAAAATATGTCACCACCTTCAGGTAAAGCTTATCTTGTGGAAAGAGTGGATTTTGTTGTTTTAGAGTTTAAAACCACCCCCGGTAAAATCAAAAAAAATTGGTTCTAGAACAACTACCTTGCTGTTTTGCTTTGCTTCAAAGCGCTGAAATTGAAAATTTTAGGAATTTATGGGTCACAGCCACGATGGGATCACAGCGCACTTTGTAGTGGGGTAAAATGTTATAAAATGTCTTGTTGTTGGGCCGCTTGCGGGCAGACAACTACATTAGCACACATGCTTTGGGAGTGCGGGTCGCTCGTCCCGACCTACAGCAAGGCCGAGTGGGATGCGCTTTTGCGGAGCCCAAAGGTTCTGTACCATATCGTGGCCTTCCAGCATGCCCACAACAGGGCTGGTAGGCTGGACCGGCCAGTCCCCACATGGGAGTAGCCGGGTGGCACGGGGCAACCTCAGCATCTGCACTGGACTATGATAAGGTAACTCACTCACTCACTTCTGTATGCTTCGTGTCACTGCTGTGCAATGAAGCTAGAAATGTTGGACATCGAGGGACACGAACCCTAACTGTGTAGACAAGTACTAAGTGTAGCAAATGTTTCAGGTGGTACTAAAATGTGAAAATGAAGTTGGAAAGGCTATGCAATCGAATGCGTAGTTATCAGAAAATCGCTGAGTAGAGAATACTGATGCAGCTAATAATTTGACGCAAGGCCTTGATCTCACAAGGGAAGAAACTGCATGCACTTTTTGGCAGTGGCATCACGCATATCTTGGTCTTGAACGCCGAGGAGCAAATTGAAGGCCCGTAGCATGCGAAATCGCCCTTACAGAGGCAAAAGGAACTGTATGAAGAATGGCAGGTAAAACAGAACAGGTAAAGTAAACTTATTTGTTCATAATCGAATGGTCCCGAGGGCATCACTGAAGGAAGTTATGAAATCTGAAATGAAAGTAATTTTCTTTCATACAGTCGACCCCCCCCCCCCAAAAAAAAAAACTTTTGGTTACCCTAGCTACATGAGCGCTTTCCGAACGACAATTAGGAGGTAATTAAGTCCGGGGTTTTGATGAGCTGTTGTCGAGAGGAGATAGCGGCTGGGAATGTGTTCTGTTGTTCTTCGCCTGCATGTCATTATCACTGGGCCGTTACACGTGTGTGCATTCAAAAGAAATTCGCTGTGGTATACAAAGGATGTTCGCAAGGAGTCCTTATCTACGGTGTGGCGACCGCATCGATGGGCAGCCCATGTTTTGTGGGTTGTTTCGGTTCCACAGGTTTTCGACACTTTATATCAATCCAGGAGTGGCGAGAACACACATAGATAATTTGAACGTGCGAGCGTTAAAGAAAAAAAAAAAGCTGAGTTCCGCTGCGTTCACCCGCTGATTGTAAAGAAAAAGATGTCATGATGCTAGCAGGGATCGAACCCCAGGAGTCAGGGGCTAAATCTTGAAATGATGGAAATTCGTCGAACAGTAAGTTATGTATAGCTACGTCATCGGCATTTCAAAAGTCTGGAAGTGTTTTCTCTGCGTATGCAGGCGTTTTACTGTCTTTTATAGGTATCCTACAATAAGCTATTTAATGGTCTGAAATGCCGTCTAGAAGTTCTATCGTTGCTTCATGTACGGGAAAGTTATCAGTGAGAAAGATTCAGTCCAGCACGCTCGAGTTGTGTCCCTGTACATGCGTAGGCTGCGTCACTATTTGTGAAAGGTTTGAAGAAAGAATTAAATCGTAAAATATTTCTGAGCAGGTGCTGTGGTACTGCATTGATTCCCAGTTGAAGTCAGGCAGATTAAAGTCCCCCACAAGAATAACTCTGGCATTAAATGCGTGACGCCGCATATACGTGCACAGGGCATCCTTACACTCAAGGTTAGATGAAGGGGCGCGGTATGCACACCCGAGAACGAAAACGTGGGTTGTGAATTTAAGTTTGCAAAAAACAGCCTCTACGCTTTCTACGTCTGGAAGTAATGTGAAGGGGATTCTTTTACTTATAAAGACAGCTACGCCGCTGCCTTGTGTTGGTCTATCTTGGCGTATGATCGCGTAGTTTGGGGGTGTTAGCTCAGCATCTTCGATATCACTTGTTAGCCACGTTTCAGTAATGGCCAAAAAGTCGGGTTTGAGGCCGATAAGCAACGATTCTAAAGCATCTAGTTTGTTCATGATGCTGCGCGCATTCACATTTGCGAAAGTTATTTCGCGTAATGCCCTATTTGTCGACGACTTAGCTGCTGAGTTTTGGGATGAACTTTTTTAGGGGCGAAGCTCCTTAGGGCGTGGGCTGTGCGTCCCCTGTAGCCTGTATGTTGCCATCTCTAGTTTAGTTCTTGCAGTGTTCACTAGATGGCGGTACCGTCCCCTGTATGTAATACAGTTTGCATAGAGTGGGGAGGAATGCGTAGCAAAGAGAACGTTGAGGTTAGCAGGGGTCTGAGACAGGGATGTCCTTTGTCCCCACTGTTATTCATGCTGTACATGGTGAGTATGGAAAAAGCGCTAGAAGGTAGCAACATTGGTTTTAATCTGTCACACAAACAGGGCGGCATGATGATTGAGCAGAAGCTTCCAGGTTTATTTTATGCGGACGATATCGTCTTATTTGCGGACAGTCGAGATGATATACAGCAGCTGGCGAATATATGCGGAAGGGAAGGTGAAGCTCTTGGACTAGGATTCAGTGTAACGAAGTGTGGTTTGATGGTATTCAATGATCCCTGTGATCAGACGGTGTCCATACAAGGCCAAGAAATACCGAGGGTAAGTGAATACAAGTACCTTGGAGTATGGGTAAATGAGAGTGATAGATACATGGAGGTACAGGAAAAAGCCTCGGCAGCAAAAGGAAAGAGGAATGCGGCAATAATGAAGCACAGAGCGTTGTGGGGATACAATAGGTATGAGGTGCTTCGAGGTCCGTGGAAGGGTGTAATGGTTCCAGGGCTTACTTTTGGGAACTCAGTGGTGTGCATGAGGGCAGAGGTGCAATCGGGAATGGATGTAAATCAAAGGACTGTGGGACGCCTCGCGTTGGGTGCTCACGGGAAGACGACAAACGAGGCTGTAAAGGGCGATATGGGGTGGGCAGGTTTTGAGGCGAGGGAAGCGCAGAGCAAAATAAGGTTCGAAGAAAGGCTAAGAAATATGAAGGAGAGTAGATGGGCAGAGAAGGTGTTCCGTTATTTGTATAGGAAGAGCGTGGACACACAGTGGAGAAAAAGAACTAGAAGACTCACTAGTAAATATACGGCTGGTATTGTGAGCCATATGTCAACAAAGAGCGTTAAGGGAAAAGTCAGGGAGGCGGAGAGGATTTACTGGATGGCAGCTATGGAGAAAAAACCGGCTTTGAGTAACTACCGAAAGGGCAAAAATGAAATAAGGAGGGAGGCATTTTACGATAATTCAAGGGGAAGCGCTTTACTGTTTGAAGCGAGATCGGGTTGCCTTAGAACGCGTAGTTATAAAGCAAGATTCAGTAAAGAAGAAGAACAATGCACATGCTGCGGGAAAGATAAGGAAACGGCGGAGCATGTTCTGATTGAATGTGGAGATATCCACCCAGGTGTACGTTTGGGCACGAACCTACAGGAAGCCTTGGGTTTTAGGGACAACAATGGAAAGCTGAACACACCCGCGATTGAAATAAGTAAGAGACGGTTAGAGTATTGGTGGCAGAAAATTAGAGAGAAAGGACAAAAATAAATATTGGAAAAATAAAATATGGACAGTGTGCCGTAAATGGCAGAGAACTTAAGCTGAAAATTTACCTTTTTTCCATTAAGATAGAATTTATCGAAGTAGAGGCATTAGGCCAACATAAAAAAAAGGAAAAAAGGTTTTTTTTTTTTTTGTCGAGCCTGGTGGCATACTTGTCACCACCCCGTTATAAAGGGGACGCTCATAGCATCCATCCATCCATGTAGCCACCTCTAGTTTAGTTCTTGCAGTGTTCACTAGATGGCGGTACCGTCTCCTGTATGTAGCCACCTCTCGTTTAGTTGTTGTAGTGTTTACTAAATGGTGGTACTTGTAGGTGATGATGAAAAGATGCAAGATGTTATAAACTAGAAAGCGGTACTTGTAGTTGATGAAAGACGCGAGATCTTATAAAATAGGAATGATGTCGCATATGGCGCGTGTCATTGGTTGAAGGCAATCGTTCGATTTAGTGCGGTGACGTACGCTAGGGGGAGCGATGTAATAAAATCGAGTGGGCAAAATGTACAGAGGATTCATGGTTTACCAGGTTTACCTCCGGAGCTTCGCCCACTCATCATCATTCACTTCGTGGATATGGCGGAATTTTTTGTTCCGTTTACTGAGGCAACTTCTGGCTTGGTTGTACGAAAAATGAAAGCCTTGTACGTGATCAAGGGAACTAGTTGATGATTCGTTTGCTTCAGATGGCTGATATAAAGGTACTGGTTGGTGATACGAGAAGACAGGGGGATGGACATTTGGAATGCGTCAAGTGTTGTTGCGAAGTGAAAGTTGTTTAACACTGTTCGACTCTACGTCCCACATGTAAACGTCATCGTTAACGAACAACTTATTAAAAACGAGACGAATATGGTCACCGTCCTTCTTTAAGTTCTTTGAACACTGCAGCAGTTTGCGTCTTCTGTCGCGCACGGCTTCAGAATAGTCTCGGGCTACGCTTAGTGTTGTGTTTCAGTTTGAAGCCCTTGCTCAAAATGGATTCAACTTCTTTCTCGTTGAAAAATTTTGCAATGATTGGACGCTTCTTATCTTTTGAAAAACGGCCCAGGCGGTGAGCTCTAGAAATAGATGAAACAGATATGCCAAAATGGCTTGAACAGAGCTCTTTTACGATTCGCTCAGAGGCCTCCCACGACTCGGAACCGTCAGTATCGGCGACTCCGTAAAAAAGTAAGTTAGACCGGCGGGAGCGGTTTTTCAAGTCATCTATTTCGTCTTGAATTCTCAAAAGCTCTTTCTCATGCGTGGGTCCATGC